TAAGAGAAGGAGGCTAGACGACAAACACTTGATCTGGAAAAGTAATGATGCATGGATGAGTATTTCACAAACGCCTTGGGCTGTTCAAGAGGTCTGCCACACACCTTAAGAATTCTGGAGCATTTTTCTTAATGTCAGGTCTCCTCCTGACAACAACCTCTTTCCTGGGCCCCTGCATGACTTAGAATCTTCAACATCACATTTGTAGTTACAAACACTTTGCTTTATTCTTTCCCTTGTCTGGGTAGATTCAGACTTTTTTTATAGAGGAAGCCTAAGAGATCACATGGTAGTAGATACTGTCAACTGGCATGCTCTAAACTAGAGATTCTGACTGTAATAGTGTGTTAGTTTGTCAACTACATACACTGTTTCTTAATACAGAATGTCTGTAAGCATGGGTGCTAGAGGTGATCATTGCTTGGGCAAATTGCTTTGACTCTCTGTAATTCACTTTGCTCATCAGTAAATGGGATGCTACTACTTACCTCATACGGCTTGATGAAGGTTAAAAATTAGAGTATAGGAGAGCTTCTCAGAAAGGAACATGATCACATGGTCATCAGAAACAATACTAAAAGGCAGTGGGATCTATGAGCCCTTAAATTAGCCCTGCATAACCAATGATAATATTTATAGTCATTATTGTTGATATTAGTCACAATACAATGACTTGCATTTGCATAGTGCTCTTGCTTTTCAGATGCTTCATTTGATAGAAAACTTAATCCCCAGATTATCCTTGCAGTACACAAGATATGTCATCCCAGTTTAACAGTGAAGAAGGTCCAGCCAAATGATGGGATGACACTAAGTTTAGGTCGCATTTACAGGAACACATTCTCCAGAGCCAGGCTGACCCCAGCACCTCGGTTCTTTCTTAGTCTTCCCTATGCAGCATCCCAGCCCTTCCACAAGTCTGACATCAGTCAGCTCCAGTTAAACTTGAGAAATGCGGCCATGTTTAGTAAACCTCAAAACCACGCTTCCTTCCCTTATTTTCTGAGCCTTCATTCACAGGGGTGGTGTTTTTATTTTTTAACAAAAAGAACTATGTGTTAATAATCTCGGACCCTAGGTTGCTCTTCAAAACATTTAAACATATCATATGTCCTCAACCCACAGTTACCACCTCATGCTCTGCACCTTGTCATCAGGAGGAGAGGGAGTTTAAGAAGACTTTCTTTACTTACCTCACTTTGGCACCAGTAACATGGTATCAAGTCTGATTTATAGATGTTATCTGTATTGGTGGAATACACACATACAGTCATATGTACATAGATACTAGCTTGAATAATACAGTATACCATAGTATAGCTTTATATATAAAATAAAATTTATATTATATAATAATATAGTTTTTAAAGCTTATATGCATGTGTGTTGCACACATAGTATATGTCTTACTATCATTAAAAATAAAGCTTTATCATCTATGAAATAGAGGTAATAATAATAGTAAAATTTCATAAATCCATTGTGAGGAATAAGTGAATTAATACATGCTAAACACTTAGAACAGTCCCTAGTATGTAATATACACTAAAAAAAAGCCACCTGCATTATAATTATTATTTATTTTACATATCATAAAAGGATTCATCATTTGTAAACATTATTCACTAGAGAGTGATTTAAATATTTAGTTTCTTCAATGCACCAATTTTTAAAATTTATCAATATATACTTTTCAATGCAACTTTCAGGAAAGCATTTTTTCCTAAAAGTGGTATATTACCTTCCTTAGAAGACATGTATAGTGTGTGGTAATAAGTGTATCATAAGACAAACCATATATCCCCGAAGCAACAAAAGCAATCCATAATTCAAAACTTTAGCAACAATTATTTTATACCACAGAACCTCATCTATTTCTCAGTGACAGCACTATAAATAAATAAATATTAAGAATTTTCTAAAGTTGATTCATCCTCCATAATAACTATTTAATTAAACACTATTTTCACAAATAATGGCACTGGGAAAGATCAAACTATGTTTGTCTTGGTGCATTCGTGTGAAGTTCTAGTACAAAAGTGGACATCATTTAGACAAACTTGAACACCTGCAGCCCATGCCTATGAGAGCCATGGTTGGCAATGCTCCTCACTTGTCATTATCTAAATAAACATGGTCAGGGCTGAACCCACAACCTTCTGCCCACCAGAGACAGCTCCCTACAGTCCTCCAAGGAGGAATGGGTTCCCAGAGCTGTTTATTCAGGCCTGTTCTCTTTAGCTCTGATTCTTTCTTCACTCCTTTGAAAAGAAATCCTTACGTTGAATCCTGCTAGTTTACATGACTTTTTGTATATTCAGAATAGACTTTTAAGCCATGTTTTCTCAAGTGTGTTCCACAAGATATTAGGGCTGCAAGATATTAATAGGTGTTATTCTTTAAAAATATATATGTGTATACGTACACATCAGCATTTCCTGATCAAAGAAAATTGGGAAACACTAGATTAAACAGAGTTTATCAGGTTTTTTTATTTTTCTTTATCATGGAAGTTCTTGGGATCTTTAATGTGTCACTATGATTTCTAAGAGAGAGCATCTCTCAGATGTATTTATCTGTAAGCTCCCCATCTCACAAAGCATCTTTCTGATTTCAGTGTTCCATGAAACACATTTCGGGAAACTGCTTTAGAATATGGTATATTACATATTTTACATCTGTTGCTTATATCCCTTTTCACAATTCGGAACAGAATTGCTTCTTCTGTACTATATTTGTAGTAAATTTGCTATTTTTCGCTTCAAGTGAGGGAATCCATTTACAATATCAAAAAAAGTTTCTAGCCCTCGCTGGGTACCCACCCAGAGAGTCACAATGCTGGGTCAGTTGACTGGAGCATCATCCTATGCACCAAAAGGTTGCAGTTCGATCCCTGATCAGGGCACATGCCTAGGCTGTGGGTTTGATCCCATGTCAGGGAGCACAAGGGACCAATCAATGTTTCTAACATCGATGTTTCTCCTTCTCTCTCCTTCTCTCTCTCTCTATCTCTTACTCCCTCTCTTAAAAAAATCAATTAAAAAAAAACATTCTTGGGTGAGGATAAAAAAATCGTTTAAGTTTCTGCTATTGATTGTACATTTACACAATGGAAAACTATACAGCAGAAAGAAAGAAGGAATTCCTATGTTTTGCAATGGCATGGATGGAACTGGAGAATATTATGCGAAGTGAAACAGGCCAGTTGGTGAAAGACAAATATCATATGATCTCACTTATAAGAGGAATCTAATGAACAAAACAAACTAATGAGCAAAATAGAACCAGAGACATGGAAACATGGAACAGACTGACAGCAGCCAGAAGGGAGGGGAGAGAGGGGAGTGGTGGACAGAAGGGGAAGGGACTAGTCAAAGAACATGTATGAATGACCCATGGACATGGACAATGGTGTGGGGATGGGCTGCGGGAGCGGGGCAGGGAGCTGGGCAGAGGAGGGCAAAGGGGGAAAAATTGAGACAAGTATAGTAGAATAACCATGAGAAAGAAAATTTCTGCTACTGAAATTGACCATGACAAAGTTTTGGTGGTTTTGGAATCACTGAAAGCAATAATCTTAGATCTGAAAAAAAAATCAGTTGTACTAACTCATAATTATATGCAAATTAAAATACTCTAGAATCAAAATTTTACATAAAACCCATGAGTTCGGCCACACACTTTCCTCCAATCAGATGGCATGAAGTTGGACTTACGGCTGTCATATGGCTCTGGCAAGCAGGTGTCATTTTACCCTCAGAAATCATAGCAATTACCATCGGTAACATAGATACTCTTGTAATAAAATCATATTATTTATAAGTCATAAAAATAAAACCATAAAAATAAAAACACATTTATTATAAAGCCACATTAATATGGAACAAGGAAAGCTCTAAAATTTGGGGATACTTTTTTTTTTCTTTAAAGTGTGTCACTCCTAGAGAATGCTGATATTCAAAGAAATAAAATTGTTCTCCTAAATCTTAAGCAGTCACTGGTTATAACACTTCATTCCTATTGAAACTTCGAGACTTAAATTTGGACTTAGACTTGATGATAAGTCTTAAATGCAGACATACTATATATATTAATTTGAACGGAAGGGAAAATGCAGTGGGATTTTACAACTTCTCTGTATCAAACTATATGCATCCAAGTCTGGGAGAATTTCAAGGAACTTGAGTATATATGGATGGACTGGTCACATTGATTTGTGTTTCTCAATGTTGAAAAATAGACTACATTAAAAAGAAAAAAATTAAACTCATAAAATTATCTGATAATGTCAATCTCCACTATGTTTAACTTAACTAAAATTTTAAAAAAGGGCCTAAAGTATCCACTTTGACAAAAAATGTTTCCTAACTTGCTCCAGTGGTTTTTTTTTTTATTATAAATCAGAACATTCAGTATCTCTTTTGCATTAAAATTAGTTCAAAGTGTTTCAGGCCTCCAAAGGAGGATCCAGTTTCAGGTTCCTGACATAAAAACACTAAAATAGCCTGTAGAATTCTTCTTGCCACTTCAGGAGTAATCAAATTTCATGTTAACTATTAAATTACAAACATGCACTTACGTTTTCCAAACCTCTGTTTAGCAATTCAAAAGGCGCTTAGAAAACATCCTTCAACCAAATCCCCAGTTGGCAAGTGAAACCGTTTACCTGCGGGAGCTAAACAAAGGAGGGTCCTCGCCGTCCCTGGAGGCACATTGCAAAGTGGCACGCGATGTACCCCATTCCCATTGTGAGGCACAAATTCTTTGTGACACTGGGAGACACCGCGGAACAAAAATACCATTAGAAATGCTTCAAAAGGAACATTTTTGGCTGCGATAGAGACTTTTGACATTATTTATTAGGTTCAAAACTGCTTCACAAAAGCCTAACAATGGTTCTGTGGAAACCAGTGCATCTGAGGCCCTTTTTGTTGTTCTGGGCAGGCATTGATTTGAAGATGGGCTGCGCTCGCCGAACAATCCCCTCGCAGCGGTCAGCGTCAGTGAGCATTCACCCCCGGCCTGGGAGGGGCCTGTGAACAAGCCGTCTGGAAGCTCTGCGGTGGGCGGATGAGGGGGCAAGACCAAGCCTTGATAAACCTCCTTGGGGGGAGATGGGGAGGAGCCCCGGCCAACTGAGAAAGGGGCGCTCCTGCCAGATCGCCAGGGAGGGAGGTGTCTGCGCTGGGCCCACTTTTCCCCGAGAGATGAGGATGCTTGGGGAGCATCTCCGGTGCCATGGCAACCGTGCCTCTTCCCAGTGGATTTCCAGGCGCTCCCCAGAGTCCGCTTTGGGAACCCGGGTTGGCCAGAGCGCCCACTGTGACTGCCATCCTCTCCTCCACCTGGGGCTCAGAGGAACTCCGGGAGACCCTCGAAGGGGCCACGGGGGTCTGGCTTCTCCTGCAGAGCCTGATGACAGTGGAAGGCCCCGCTGCAGGACCTGGAGGGCAAAGAAGGGGAGGAGTGGCACTCAAGTGGGCGGCATGTACCCGCCCCCTTCAGGACTTTAAAAACAAACAAACAAACAAAAAAAAGCTCTCCTTCATAACCGAATGTTTGAGAAATCAACATCTGCAATGTGTCGAGAAAGAAAAAAAAAATCCTCTGACATTATTATCCTCACCTGCCTCTTACATTTTTTTTTAACAAAATGTTATCTGTTCCTTTCCTGTTGTTTGAAAGCCCTTCCTCCAAGTAATTTTTACAGAATCTTCATGAAACTTTATTTCATGGAAAACTGTTCGAAATTTCTAAAGAGAGGGAACCAGGAGAATTGGTGACTAAAATAGGGGCTTCGAATTCTAAATTTAGGGAAAGTTTGTGAGTGAAAAATTATTAAGTGGAGTTAATCTAATGCAAAACAAATGAGCAGTGAGGGGAAATGGAATAAACAAGGCATTGGGGTCAGACCATCATAGATTCAAACCCTAGCACATTGTCTGAGCCTTAACTGAGGTATGAGGTTATATTACCTATTTCACAGAGTGGCTAGTAGGATTAAGTTTGTTCATTCATTTATTCATCTATTAATGTTTGAGTGGCTGTTATGTGCCTGGCAGCATTCTAGACATTAGAGATAGAGAAAAGAATAAAGCTGCCATTATCTCTGCACTTATAAAGCTTCTATTATAGTTGTGGGAAGAAAGAGTGGAGAAAGGATGTAGACTATTAAATAAGCAAATGAAGAAATGTACACGTGTCAGCTAGTAGTAAACCCTAAGGAGAAAAGTAAGCAGGAAAGGTTAGGAAAAACCCACATAGATGACATTTCAGTAAAGACCTGAAGAAAATGAAAAAGCAAACTAGTTAAGTATCTGAGAGAACATGATAAAATGCAAAGCATCTAGTACATTGTAAGTGCTCAATGCCCAAGAGCTGTCATTGTCATATTTAGAATCTTAATAGAGGAATTCTCTGACCTGGAGTCAAATTGAAGGGTTGAAACCTGGCCAAATCACAAAATCTCTATGGGCTTCCAATTCTGTCTCTAAACTGTGAGAAAACAACAGTTGCTATCTCCGAGGGTGACCATATGGATCAAAACTGAAGATGTATGTTCAAATTTTAACACATTGCCTTACACATAATGAGACTTTAAAAATGTTAACCAGCCAGCATCCTCAGTCTCCATCCTCAAGCCCAGCTTCCCAGGGATGGAGGAATCCCTGACTCAGCATATTTGGTAGACAGTCTCCCAGCCCGTCTTAACGCTTCTGGCCCAAGCAGTACATTCTCCTCCAGTTCAAAGAAAGTTCTGTCTACTTTGTCAAAATCTGTCTCTTTCTGCTATTGGTCGAGTCCAACAAACTGTCAAATATTTGGAGGGAAACAAAATCAAAGGCTACATAACACCAGTGTAATTCTTGTTCTACATGGCAGTTCCTAGAGTATTTGGAGATGTGCGTGGGTTCTTTACATTTTCTCTCCTCCAGTCAGAACCATAAACACCACCACCATCATCACCACCACATTATTCAGCTCCTGCTATGTTCAGGGAACTTTATTTATATCAATCCTCTAATGTTGATGTCTCTTCAAGACAGGAATTATTGTTAGCTTACATATGGAAATACTGGGCTCAAAGAACATTTGTGAGACTTGCTCATGGCTACAGAAGTGAAATGGAAAGAAGCAGAGATTTGAGTCCAGATCTTCCTGGTTCCAAAGCTCACTCCCTCTGATCCATCTCATTACTTTTAATCATTCTCCCTATTAGTAATTTTGAGATACTTCATCATCATATATCTTATCTTGTGCTAGGAATTCACAGCTTTCTTATCTCTAAATGGGGATAATCATATTAATCTGCCTAAGAGTGTTATAGGAGGATTTCATAAAATAATGTGAAATGTGCAGCACTATATTTGCCACATGGTAAGAGCTTTAATAAATGTTAGAATGATAATAATAATTATTATCATTATAGGGTGAAATACCTGAATCAACAAATTACTGTTAGCTACTAATACTTGTCCTTTTTCCTCCAATACAACACTTGAGAGCAAGCAGATTTTCACTAAGAATTGTTTGATACAGTTCTTATAGAACCTTCTAGAATAGGACTCGCCATTGAGTCAGTAACTTTGCTGTTTATATTGATGTTAAAAATAAAAATGATTGAAAAGAGAAAAAAAAGAAATAGGAACCACAAAGTGAGACTTACCAGGTGGGACAGTATCTCTCTTGGAATTGCGAGAGGGCTGGTTCTTAGTTCTTACATGTCTGTGGATGTGCGTACCTATAGCCTCAAGGTGCACAGGATATACTGAGTAAGATCCAATAGGCTTTTTTGTCATTTGCTGTTCCAAAACTGGACTGTTCCGGGTCTGCGTGGGTGTTTCTTTGCCTTCCTTATTAATTTCTCGTCCGACAGTGAAGATCAAGGAGGTGTTGTCCCCTTCACTGGATGGTGTTGGGGAGGGACTGGCTTCTCCATGGCTTTGTTCTTTGAAAGAAGCCATACTTACAGAAGGACACCTCGGGATATTGTACTGGCAAGTACACGGCAGTTTTTTACATGCCATTGGAATCCTTCCTGGACATAATGTAACAGGTAAACACATTAGCTTGAAAGAATATCACTTCAATATCACCTACTAAATTAATGATAGGAAGGATGGATTTTTTTTCTTTTTTTCCTATCTTAAGCCAACAGAAGTGACTTCAACTCAGAAATCCAGAGCCTCCCAGTTTTATAGACCTCTGCATGATATCAGGCTTCCTGTATGACACAATGGCCAGGTTGCCTGAATTGCCTGAAACAATCGGTGGTTTGGGCATTTAACAGAAGCTGTTGGAAATAGAAGGGTCTTTGTCAACCTCCAAAGGCCTTTAGTTTTTTGTTAATTCTTCAAATTTATTCACCAAAATAGTGACAGAACTTGACCCAAAATCCATTGCTCATGATTTAAAGTCCAATACTCTTTGCTAGGTTACACATGGCTTAAGTCTAATTTAGTATTTCCCAATCCTGGCTATGCATTAGCCAGTATCTGGAATGCTTTGAAAAATACAGATGTGCGGTCTCGGGACTCCAATATCTGTAGTCTGTGAACCCATCAGAGATTATAATGTGCAATCAGGCAGCCACCGATCTAATTCACTCATCAGGGATTTCAGGTACTTTGTTATAAGCCTTATTCAGTCCAAACAATCGTGAACATGCTAGAGCCCCAGAGTATTACCTCTTGGTAGGCAGCCTTCACTTCAGACACCAGTATTACATACCACCTTACAACATATGTAGTGCTTTACGTTGTACTTGCCCTTCACACTAGTAACCCCACTTGAGCTTGAGAAAAACACTTCAGCTCCTTCCTTGTACTGAGGAGCACACTGAGGTCATACAGTAACATCTTGTCCATACTACTAGTCAGGCATCAGAGGGGCTGGGGTTGGGACCCTAGGCTTCAGTTTTGAGGTTTTTGTTTTTCTACTGCACAATCAATGCCAGTGGCGCCAGAGGAGACATGTGGTCGTGATGAAATGGCCTTGATGAAGGAGGCAAATGTCCACAATTACAGCTAACAAAGAGTGGGCACTGACCCCCAGCCAGGCACTCTCCTACCGTCCATGCCTTAGCCTGTAGTAAGTGCTATCAGCACTACTTCTAATGAACAGAAGACGAAAGAGCACCTTCGGTTGAGTACTCTGCCTGTGGGCCAATGACTGAAATTTGCCCCCATGAAAGCGTACATTCTCACCACGCCCCCGAGCATTCCCTCACTCAGGCAAGGGCTCAAACTTTTCCCAACTAATTAGGCACTTGTTTTCTGGGGCTTAAAAAAATTCTTCCCCATTTTCAAGTTGTCCCTATTTTTTCTTTTTAATGTGTAGGCAACTCTGCCTCTTAATTTGCAGTGCAGGTCTCCCATCTGTTGCTAATTTCATTTGAAATAATATTGTGGCAGACGGGAGATTGCAAGGTACCGTAAAATAAACCTCAGAGTGAAATGTGTTTCACAGAAGCAATTTATCTTTCTCTTGAGCTGCAAAATAGCTCATGATAAATCCTGACAGAGGCTGATTTGTTCATTTCTATTCATTAGAAAAACACAACTACACTACCTCCTGCATATTCAGCCCCTTGGATGTACCAGCAAGCATGATGTTGCTCCCTTCGAGCCTGTTCCTGGCAGCTGTCCCTCCATGTGAAACTTCTGCGTGCATGTCACCCCACTCTGCCTCTTCCCCTCTCTTGGGTGTCCAACTCCAGCATGTTCATGTTATAAAAAGACCAGAGACAACTCTCCTAGAAGGAGAAATGAAACCCAAAGACAGTGAACTACCCAAAGCTCATTTTGCCCTTTCCTATAGGCACACATAGGGGCTAAAACTAATTGATTTAATTTCCTGCATATCTACAATCAAACATATATGTCAACTAGGTCTTTAATTAATAATAAGAACTCTAATGATACACTCTTTAAAGGATCCTTAGACCTCCTAATGAAATTTAATGGAGTCCACCACCTCACCATTTCTCCTGACTGTGGAGTGGGAATTGTTTTTAAGCTGACGGGGTTGAATCCATGGGAGGAGTCTGGAATGCATCAAGTCCTGAGCCATGGTGAGTTTATAGGCCAAGTGCACAAATTCTGAGCCCAGACTTCTTGGTCAAATCTATGTTTTATTTTTCCCTGGATCCATTATGTACTCCAAGGTACCTACATGCTCTCTGCCTCAGTTTTTCCATTCATAGAATGGCAATAATGATAATACCTACCACATAGGGGTGAGATGTAGGTTAAGTGAGTTAATAAACAAGGGCTTTCAGCAGCACCTGGCACATAGGAAGTACTTAGCAAGGCTTGGCTGTTATTATTATTGTTGTTGTTATTGTTACTGAAAATATTTCTTCTCTTTCTCTCTGTAACTCCTGAAAGGCTTCTTTCAGCAATTAGGACTCCTGTGCAAAATAATATATTTTCAATCTATTCATTTTGCCTCAATCTAATCATTCCTTTACTCAGAAATGTTTGCCAAATGCCTATTGTGTGCCTTGCTCTGAATTTTGCCCTGGGGATACAACAGAATAATGCAAACAGGGTTCCACCCTCATGGAGTTTACAACCTACTGGGGAAAATGGCAAAAATAGGTCACAACTAAATGGTTACAAATTATAGAACATGATATCAAGGGGAAAACAATGGGCTGAGACAGAGAAACTGAGTAGAAACCTGTAAAGATAACATTTAATCTGAAACTGATCCAAAGGCTGAAAAGGACTTCCTCATGCAGGAGTGGGAAGAAAGAGCATTCCAGCCCAACAAGGACTGAGATGTGTTCCTAGGACGGTTAGCCCCAGGCAGCAAATAGAAGTGAGCAGGGGAAAGGGGCGGGCAAGGTCTGGAGGTTGCACGACAGGCCTTGGAAAGCTGCTAAAGTCTTCACATAGGTGAGTGATGATAGCAACACTTTCCTTGAATAAACTCTCTAAGGGAAAGTGGGCAGAAGGAGAGAAGAGTACACACCAGTTAGAAGATAGACAAGTGTGTGATGAGGCAACTTGGATGTGCATGGCGGTTTTGCATTGTGCTTAAGAGCTAGACAGTCTGAGCTTGATTTTCCTCATCTAAAATGAGGATAATGATAATAAAGTTGATGGGGGAAGTACGTGAAATGGACTTCTGGTTTCAGCTCCAACACATGGAAACAGCTTAGAAATTGACATGCTTATTCTTTCAACAAGAAAGACCTAACAAACTGAAAATCAACAACTTTTCTTGGACTCATCAGAGAACTGAGTTTGCAGAGCAAAAGGCCATCCAAAATCTGCAGAGAGAGAGATGAATCCAAAGAGTCAAATAAGTATCTGTTTACTTGGAGTAGAAGCCCCAGGACCCATACCCTGGTAGGAACATTTAAATGCTAATTTTGGTAACTTGCTGAAGTCTGGGCATAAGTAGATTAGTTTGAGAGTGAGAAACTCCTGAGGACTGCAGTGTTAGGGGGTCCCCCGACTTCAGTGGGTTTTACCTAACAGAACCCCACCAGTTTCTCAAGCTGAGGATCTGAGAAAGATCCTTTCATAGCTCTGAAACAGGGAAGGGAAGGATAATAGTTGTAAAATGTGTCCATCATAACGGTGTGCCTGAGCCTCATCCCAGCTGAGGGATAGGCATTTTTCCGCTCCATCCCTCTTTAGCCTTCCTGTCTCACCTATGACAAAGTAAAAAACCTAAGATACACTTGTGAATAGCACAGTCAGAGAGGAAGGCCCTCTGAAAGGCTGAGATTTAACCATGAGATTATAGACTGTTTCCCTTTCCTGACACGTAGTCATCACACAAACAGGTCTCCAGGACAATAACTGGACTTCAGTTGAAAGAGCTGCAAGATGCAGACTATTTCTCAGAAACAGAAGTCAGTGAAGTCCAACGTCCAGAGGAGAGACACAAGGGAGAACACTGGAGAAATTTGAAGCCGCTGGCACCTACAGCTACAACAAACTGTAAATACAACCTAACACCTAGCCAGATGATCGTAAGACCCCACACCAAAGATCTTTTTACCTCACTTCCTATTATCTGATACACCAACTTGGCTTTCAATAAAAGCTTATGAGGTGTGCCAAAAAGCAAGAAAAAGTACAATCTGAAGAGACAAAGAAAGCGTAAAAACCTGACTCTGCCATGACACAGATGCAAGCAATATCAGAGAAGGAATTTAAAATAACTATGGTTAATATGCTAAGGCTTAAAATAGAGAAATTAGAGCACATGAGTAAGGTAAGCAAAGAGACAGAAATTCTAAGGAAGAATTTAAAAATGCTACATGAACTGACTTATACTTGGAATCCAAAAACAAAAAAAATGAAGTAGTACAAGAAATATCAGGGACAGGGAGGTGGGTTAAAAAGGAAGACGTTGCAGTTTTGTAGGATAAGTGTAGAGCTCTAATGCACGGAATGATGACTATAGTTTGTAATACCATATTTAGTACTCAAATATGTTGAGTGAATTTCAGGTGTTCTCATCACACACGGAAAAAACATGGTAACTATAGGAGGACATGACATGTCAATTAGTTGACTGCAGTGATCATTTCACAATACATATATGCATCAAATAACCATGTTATACATTTAAATATATGCAATTTTTATTAAAAATAAGATACAAAAACAACAAAAAGAAAGGCTACAAATACAAACACTAACAAAAATGAAGAACATATTTAATGAGTTCATTAGTAGACTGAACATGGGCAAGGAAAAAATCAGTGAGCATGAATATAGATCAATAAGAACTCCTAAGTAAAAATGCAATGAGAGAAAGGAATGGAAAAAAGAAGAGAACATATGAGAACTATGATATATTTTTATAAGATACAGCATTCACATCTTAGTTGAAATATCAGAAGAAGAAAGAGAAAATGGGAGAGAAGAAATATTTGAAGTACCAATGACTGGGAGCTCTCCAAACTTAATAACAAACATAGAACCACAGATCCAGGCATGTTCTCAGAGAACATGAAGTAAGTTAAATTCCAAAAAGAAAAAAATTACATCTAGGCATATCATATGTAA